GGATTTGTAGCTGCTGCTGAAAGAGAAGGAGATGATGGTTTGACTGAAATGAGTAGCTTCTTGCCTTAAGATATTCCTATCTTAAGTACTCTTGCTAACGAATTTGCTCTATTTGACCATTACTTTGTAAGTTATCCTGGTTGTACTAATCCTAATAGAATGTTTGTTCATATGGGAACTTGTGATGGATGTGTAGATAACGAATAAGAAAGAGGATAAATAAAGAATACTACTCTCTAGGAAGTTCTTGAAAAAAATGGCCTCTCATGGAAATATTATTATGAAGATGATCCAGTAGAGTGGTTCCTTTGGATTGAATATTTTAATTAAAATTTCAATAACACTGCAAAAGTAGCATAAATGGAATAGTTTTATACTGATGCTCAAAATGGCAATTTAGCTAACTATACATTCATCAATCCTACTGAAACTGTTAGACCTAATATGAATAATACTAGATCATTTGGATTACCAAATGATTAACATCCTGATCATAGTGTTAAAGAAGGTGAAAGATTGATGAAGAATGTCTATGAAGCTCTTAGAAATGGACCTAAATGGAATGAAACCCTCTTTATCATTACTTATGATGAGCATGGCGGTTTTTATGATCATGTACCTCCTCCTCAAGAAGGTGTGCCTAATCCTGATGGTAAAGTGAATGCAGAAGGATTTAATTTTGATAGACTTGGTATCAGAGTACCTACAATTGTTATTTCTCCTTGGATTGAGAAAGGATTGCTAATTAAAGAGCCTCAACAATAGTAGAAACCATTTAACACTTCTTAATTCGAACACAGTTCTATTATTTCAACTGTAATGAAGATTTTCAATCTAGAATACAACTTCTCTAAGAGAACTGAATGGGCAGCAACATTTGATGACATTATTAATAGAACTTCTCCTAGAACTGATTGTCCTACATAATTAGCTTATATTCCTCCTCCAACTAAACCTGAAGTAGCTCAAATTTATTCAAGAAACATTAAACCTACTGTTGTTTCAAAAGTCAAAAGAATGTGCAAAGAATATA